GGAAAAATGTGAAAGTACAAATTTCCAGAAGTGGTGGTTAAGTGAAATAGCCACTCCTATCTCTTCACCCATTTTGGGGCTGGGGGAGAAAGTGGACCTTTTCATGTTATCTGCAGAAAGGGCAAGAATATCAGGCAGTAGAGAGGTCTCCTGATGGGGATAGTTCAGATTTTTAAAAAAAATTTTATTTATTTTTTAAATTTCTTTTCAGTGTTCCAGAATTCATTGTTTATGCACCACACCCAGTGCTCCATGCAATATGTGCCCTCCACAGGATCACCCAACCTCCCCACCGTTCCCCTCCAAAACCCTCAGTTAGTTCCTCAGAGTCCACAGTCTCTCATGGTTTGTCTCCCCCTCCAATAGTTCAAAATTTTAACTAAAAAATTATGAAGGAAATGAGGGGTGGAACTTAGGAAAGGGGGAAAGAAGTTGGCTTGGCGTGGATGCTTTTTTGAGATAGTTCGTCTCCATGATTTTTGCATGAAGACTGCAAAATTGAGAAGCTGCCTTATAGTGATTTAAGGATGGATTCATGCCAAGTTTTTTTTACAGGTCTGTGCTGAAAACCCACCGTCTCCCCAATGCCACTCCTTCCTCTAACTCATCAATGAAGTATCACAGGCCCCTAATTCCTTAATCAGCATTTAGGCTTTGGGTCTGTGAAAATGCCTGTCCCCTTTGGATGTGATAGAGCTTTCAGCTATCATCACTGGAGAGGATGGAGGTCCTTCTATCTCTTTTCATGTTCTACTTCATTGCTACCAGCCCCAGGCTCTAGGGATGAGAGTTTGCAAGTATTTTTGATTCTAGAACACCATTTGGGTCACATTTACTAGCTAGTGGAGTCAATATGATGTCAAAAGTCACACCTCCAATGAGTAGTCTTCCTCCACCTGTGTAGAATTTGTAAGCTCAGCCTGATTCTCTTTAAAGCCTCACATCCTGAGATTAGTCTATGTCAGGAGGCCACTAAGAATGTAGGAAGATCCGTAGGTCTGCGTCAGTTGTTCTATCTCAGCTTTACCAGGTAGCCATGATCCTGCTTATAGTTTCTCATATGTAACTCTGTATTTCCCAACACCTCTCTTTGAAACTCTTCTAAGCCAATTCTGAACACACACACACATACACACACACACACACATGACTGCTGAACCCCTTCTCATCAAGACCCTGGACAAGGGGCAAGTTACTGAACATTTTTGTGGTTCAGTTTCCTCACCTGTAACATTGAGATACTGGGACATGTATCTCATGGGATTGTCATGAGGATTAAATTAGTTTACATCTCTTGAAGGGCATCTCAGCTCCTTCCACAGTTTGGCACTTGTGGACATTGCTGCTATGAACATTGGGGTGCACATGCCCCTTCTTTTCACTACCTCTGTATCCTTGGGGTAAATACCCAGTAGTTCAATTGCTGGGTCATAGGGTAGCTCTATTTTTAACTTTTTGAGAAACCTCCATACTGTTTTTGAAAGTGCCTGTACCAACTTGCATTCGCACCAACAGTCTAAAAGGATTCCCCTTAAGGCAGGGAAAAATGAAGGGGGGGAATTAGAGGGGGAGAAGAACCATGAGAGACTATGGACTTCAGGAAACAAAATGAGGGTTTCTGAGGAGTGGGGGTGGGTAGTGGGGAGATGAGTTACCTGGTGAAGGGCATTAAGGAGGGCACGGATTGCAATGAGTGTTATACGCAAATAATGAATCATGGAACACTGAGTCAAAAATTAATGATGTACTGTATGGTAACTAACATAACATAAAAAAAGAAAAAGAAAAAGAAACAAAAACAGACCAGAAATACAGAGAATAAACTGGTAGTTAGTTACCAAAGCACGGTGGGGTGGGGTGGGGAGGTTGAAGGATGATAAAAATGGTTTAAGAGAAATGGGAGATACAGGCTTCAGTTATAGAAAAAGTAAGTCACCAGGATAAAAGGTACAGGGGGGATAAAGGGCACGTAGTCCATGATACTGTAATAGTGTTGTATGGTAACAGATGGTAGCTACACTTGTGGTGACCATACCATAAAGTATAGATCTGTCAAATCACTATGTTGCACACATGAAACTAATGTAATATTCTGTGTCAACTACAAAAAAAGAAAATAAAATGGTAAAATAAATGAGTTTACATCTCAAAGGTTATTAGATCAGTCCCTAACATATAGAAAGAACTCAGTAAACTTTTGTTTTTTAAATATGTTAGGGGCTTTTCCTTTTGGCTTGCTTAATTCCTTTCTCTGTCACTCTGCTGACACATTTTCTGTGTCATTTTCTGTCATTACCTGCTTAGGTATCGCCACGAGGCTATAGTTTCCTTGAGGACAAAAGCTGTGTCATGTCTGTTCTTTTAATCCCTAGCATTGAGCAGAGTTTCTGACATATAGATACAATGAAGGTGGAATCAATAAAGAAGTCACTGGATGAAAAATTTAATATCTGCACAAACTAAGGATAACCTTTTTTTGCTATGGGGAGAAAAAAAAAAGAATGAGAGAAAATATACCAGATCATTAAGAGTACTTAGCTCTGGAGGGTAAAACGATGTGTAACATGTATTTTCTTCTTTCTTCTTTTCCATTATTTCCTTATAAGGAGGGTGTGGGTAGGGGTAGAGGGGTTACACAACAGTGCATGCAAAGGATTGAGCTCTGCTCTAACCAGAGAGCTTCAGGGATTACATTAGTAATGATGACATGAGCTGTAGTCACAAATGAACTTGGAAGTTTTGGCATCTTAACATAATAGAAATTTATTTCTCACTCTCATGTTGATAGTGTCTGTGTCTGTATGTATCCATGAAGTCATTCAGGGACCCAGCCCCTTGGAGGCTTCTCCATCCACACATGGTTGCCAGGTCACCCTGGTGTCTACACATCTAGCCAGTGGACTGGGGAAGAGAGGGCATAAGTAGGTTCATATGGGAGGTGTACCTCACTTCTGCCCACATTCCCCTTGTCCAACTTGAGTACCATTGCTCGACTGGCAAGAAGGCAGTATAGCAAGAAAAGGTAATCTAGCCCTATGTCCCAACAGAAAGGAAATGGGTTTGGTGAAGGGGTAAAGGATGAGTTAGCTTTCCTCCTCTGCGTTCTGTCCAACCTAGTCTGTTGATTCAACCAGCTGGCCTCCCCTCCTCTTCTCTCTCCCTTTCCATTTATCTTCCACATGCTGCCAAAGTGACTTTTCTCAGATAAATATTTGACTTGTCACTTGCCTTGATTAGCTCTCTTTCAGCAATTAAATAAAGTTCAAATCTCTGTAGACTAAATCTCTCAGTCCATAAACTCAAGGGTACAAGTAATATTTCTGTTTGTGACAGGATTTAATTTCAGTGTTGAGCTCCCATCTTGCCAGGTAGTAGAGTTTTCTCCCCTTTATCCTGGGTAGGGTCTGAGTTCTTGGGGTATCACAGTATGAAGCCCAGAGTGGGCATAAGATCCTCAGTAGTGACCTCAGAGGGGTTTTCTGAAAGAAACCTATGCATCTCTTGCTATCAGAACACTGCAAGAAACCATTGAGAATCTCATTCAAATTGTCAGTAAAAGGAAGCAAACCAAACCCAGGGTACTGTAAAACAGACAAGCAAACAAACGAAATAGAATAAGAAAATGAGTCACTGGGAATGGGGGTGGAGGAGCCATTAAAAAAGAATTCATGGCAGAAGTGGAAATCTCTTGTGTACTTATCTTTATAAAAGAGTAGAAAAGAAACCTGAAAAAATAAGTCTAGTGTATTAGCCAGCTAGCTAGTATATGGTGCAAATGAGTGGCAGCATGTGTTTTAATGCTTTTTATTGGTATTTTAATTTATCTCTAAGCACCATATTTACATTTTATACAGTTCCACTGAAATCAAAGTGGAGCTTTCACTTTAATATTTCCTGGCATGCAAAATAATTCCATCAAACAATATAAAGATATATCTGTTTTTGCTGAATTATACTCATATGTATGAAGAAAGGGGATGTGTCCAGATATAGAAATGACAAAACATTACATCTAGAAGGATCTTTCATCTTGTGTATAGAGATACTGGAGTATTCAGAAGCAATGGCTCACCCAAGATCCTGTAGTGACAAACGGGGGCCTGGATCAAGACATCCACACTTACACTCAGCTGGAACAATCTGGATGGTGGAGGAAATTGGCACATTTCACTCAGAGATCCAGAACATAGAGGCCTTGAGAGCTGCTGGAAAATATATGTGAAAGCATAAAGCAACAGTCAGCAGCCATAGGTTTCCTTGTATTCTTAACACCTTCTACCTTCTTCTGGATAGATCAGAACTAACTTCTACAGCTCTAAATCTCCCTCTGGCTAATATGATTTCTTGCCCACACTTACCAGTCACCACGTGCATTCCCCCTCCTCTGTTTACAGCACCCCGTCTGGACAATGATCCTGCCCCAGAGCATGCAGTCTTGGGGAGGATCCTTTCCAGCATCTGCTGTTCCTTGGTTGAGGAGAGTCCATGTAATATGTTAGCCAGTGAAAGACCTTCTTGTGGACCTTCAGATCTTAATCAGAGAGACACAAAGATGAAAAAACATTGGAGCCAATTCATCCAGTGATAAACCTGGAAGAGACTGTCCATTGCCTGCTCCCAAGATACCCAGTGCTTCCCTAGCACCCATCTTTCTGAGAACTGGTTATTTAGCTTTTCCTTCAGTTTGCTGTCATTTCAGATCCAACCAATAAATTTCTTTGTTTCCCTAAGTTTGTTAATTTGGTTTTCAGTTACTTGCAAATAACCTGAACTGATAAAATATTCAGTGGGCGGCCCTACTGATCCAACTCCACTTAACTGACTTAAGCAAATGGGCAGCATGCTGATGACTACTCTCTCATATGCCTGAGTCTAGTATATCCGTGCACTCCATTTGAGTTTTGTACTTATCAAACATTGTAGTGTTTGTTCCCAAACCTTTTCATGCCAATTACACATATGGTTGCAATTTCATAACATAATTAAATATTAACTGATGAGTACTTGCTTCAGCAACACATATACTAAAATTGGAATGATACAAAGATTAGCATGCCCCTGTGCAAGGATGACTCCAAATTCATGAAGCATTCCATTTTTTCCAAAAACCATTATGTACCTAGGAATATCAAAGAGGTAAAATATCTGTACTCTGAAAATTATTAAACACTGATGAAAGAAATTCAAGATGACACAAAGAAATGGAAAAATATTCCATGGCCATGGATTAGAAGAAGAGATAAATGATAAAATATCTATATATTACTCAGAGAAACCTACACATTTAATGCAACCTCTCTCAAAATAGCAACAGCAATTTTTACAGAATTAGAAAAAACTATCCTAAAATTTGTATGGAACTACAAAAGACCCTGAAAAGCCAAGGCAGCCTTAAAAAAGAAAAGCAAAGTTGGAGGCATTACAATTCCAGATGTCAAGTTATATGACAAAGCTGTAGTAATCAAAATAGTATGCGACTGGCAGAAAAATAGACACGTGATCAATGGAACAGAACAGAAAACCCAGAAATGAACCCAAAACAATATGGTCAATTAATCTTAAACAGAGAAGGGAAGAATAGCCAATGGAAAAAACACTCTTCAATAAATGTGTTGGGAAAACTGGACAACAACATGCAAAAGAATGAAACTGGATCATTTTCTTACACCACACACAAAAATAAATTCAAAATGTGTTAAAGACCTAAGTGTGAGACAGGAAACCATTAAAATACTAGAAGAGAACAGAGGACGTAATTTCTCTAACATCAGCCATAACAGTATTTTTCCAGATAATGTCTCCTGAGACAAGGGAAACAAAAGCAAAAATAAACTATTGGGACTACATGAGAACAAAAAGCTCCTGCACAGCAAAGGAAAGAATCAACAAAACTAAAACGCAACCGACAGCATGGGAGAAGATATTTGCAAATGCTATACCTGATAGAGGGTTAGTATCCAAAACCTATAAAGAACTTATAAAACTCAACACCCCAAAAAACAAACAGTCCAGTTTTTAAAAATGGGCAGAAGATGTGAATGGACATTTCTCCAAAGAAGATACCCAGATGGCCAACAGACACATGAAAAGATGCTCAAGATTATTCATAATCTGAAAGATTGTTCATAATCAGGGAAATAAATGAAAATCAAAACTACAATGAGATATCCCCTCATACTAGTCAGAATGGCTAAAATTAACAACACAGGAAATGATAGGTGTTGGTGAGGATGGAGAGAAAGGGGAGCCCTCTTACCCTGTTGGTGGGAATACAAACTGGTGCGACCATTCTGGAGAAGAGTGTGGAGGTTCTTCAAAAAGCTAAAAATAGAACTACCCTATGGCCCAGCAATTACACTACTAAGTATTTACCCAAAGGATACAGAAATACTAATTCAAAGGGATACATGTACCACAATGTTTGTAGCAGTATTATCAACAAAAGCCAAATTATGGAAAGAGCCCAGATGTCCATCAACAGATGAATAGATAAAGAAGATGTGGTATATATTATGGTATTTTAAGGTACTCGACCTTAGAAAAGAATGAAATCTTGCCATCTGCAATAATGTGAATGGAGCTAGAGTATTATGCTAAGGAAAATAAGTCAGTCGGAGAAAGACAAATCTCATATGATTTCACTCAGATGTAAAATTTAAGAAGCAAAACAGATGATCATGGGGGGAGAAAAGTGAGGTAAACTAAGAAACAGATTCTTAACTATAGAGAACAAACTGATGGTTACCAGAGATGGGTAGGGAGATGGGTTAAATAAGTGATGGGAATGAACAAGTGCACTTGTGATGAGCACCAGGGGCTGTATGTAAGTGTTGAATCACTTAAATTGTACACCTCAAACTAATATTACACTGTATATTAACTAAATGGAATTTAAATAAAAACTAAAAAATATGTATATTAACTAATGAACTGCGAAGGCAAGAACAGTGTTTATTCTTGTGAAAATAAAGTTGATTTCTTTGGGGTCTTGATAAAGGGAAGCAACTAGAAAATGTGATGAGTAAGTTAGGTGTAGGTGAGAGACAATCAGGTAATGGTACAGAATTATAAAACTCTAGAAGAATTTTATAAGTTACATTGCTTCCCAAAATTTTTAAGTTCTTGTGCCCCTTTAAACAAATGAAACTGAAAACCATGGAGAATTCCTAATGGGTGAATGCAATCAGCAGAGTCAAAACCAAAGAGAAGGTTTTGGCCTGTGAAAAACTAGGAGATAAATGAACATTTACGTGTGTTAAAATACCTAAGGTATATATCATGCATTATGATTTCTTGGTTTAACTGTATTTTTTAACTTAATTAAACAATCGAATTGAATAGGAGGTCTTTACATACAGAAATGCAGAGAGAAATTCATACTACTATTGTATCTGCTCAAGGGTTCATCCTCAGTGGTACTGGCCAGTCTTAAATTTAGGGACACTTCTCACAGCTCTTTGCTTCTGAAAAGATAACAGCTGCAGAATATCTGAGAAAGTGCCTTGTTCATGTCTTTTTCCTGATGGGAATCTGAGGCCCAGAGAGGGGGCGTGACTATGCTGAGTCATTCAGTGGTTGATGGCATAGCTGAGGCAACCACCCAGGTCTCCTCAATCCATGAGCTCACCCTGCAGCACAGGAGTTTGGTCCAAAGGATTTTATCCACTTATTTATTCCTTTGTGGACAAAGCTTTAATACAGAAGGGAATTATTATACCAAGACAATGTGAAATAAATTATCAGGTCATTTTGGAATATTATCCACTCAAAAAGATATGAAGCTCATTATTCAGGAGTGAAGGAAATGGGAATGAATTACTCTGGGAACCCTGATAAATCACAGTTAACTCATTTTCAAGCCTTTTAACTCTGAATACTGATGATGGGGCCATGCTGTTTCTGGTCTTCTTTTTCCTCTGTCACCCAGGTTCCGACATACCCACCTCAGTTACCTGATGGCAACTTCATAAATGAAGCAAGAAAACTCCCTTTTACAGTCAGTAACCAGACTAGCAAGATCCTTACTTTAATTATCCTTGAAATAGAGTTGTCTTTTTCACTCAAGTAAATGTGAGCACGAAAGGTAATGGTCAATTGGGACAAAAAGGTAGGATCGGCTGATGTACTTTTACTCATTTATCCCCGCCCCCCCGGCCCCCCAGGATTTATTGTTTTGGCAGAATTGACAAGATTGAATAATGTTTTCATGTTGGGTTGTCAAGGACTAAGAGAGTTTCTTATACACCTATTCTAAGCACCATGTTGACCTCCAACAGGGTCAACTTTTCCCTCCAATCCTTCCCTCTCCACCTTCCCTTCTCCTCCTCTTTTCCTTCCTCCTTCTCTTTCCCTCTTCCTCCTCTTCAACCTCCTCCTTGTCCTCCCCCTATGAGGATGGCTGCCATGTTACATTTCATTCCCTTCTCAAAGGAAGGACAAGACTGCACAAAACCAAAGACATGACTAGGGCAGATGTCAGAGTTGAGCTGGGAGAGTGTCTGCTTCTCCAGAAGTCTAGATAAGATGAATTATAAAGTCAAATACCACAGATCTAAGTAATTTATACATGCAGTGAGATAGACAAACCAGGCTGGGGGCTTTGGGTATGAGCAGGAGTCCAGGACTCATCAAAAGGGTAACCATGAGGCAGCTCCAGCCTCCTAGAGGAAAGTAGGCACAGTTAGCCACATCTGCCAGCTTTTTAAGAATGCTAGAAATCTAATTATTACAAAACTTCTATATTTTAAAATTGATTATAATTTTAAATTCTGTTGAAGCCAAATAAAATGTATTTTGTGGCCGGCTATAGTCTGTAGGCTACAAGTGGGTGATCTCTGACTTCCCAGGGCTCTGCTCCCTTGCCAGTAGGTGTACTCCCAATCAGCCAACTCCACATGGAAATCGTAAAATTTAGGAATAGGGCCTTGAGTCTTGGAGAAAAAGGTGAAGTTTCAGCCTGCTTAGTTCTATACTTGAACATATCAAGACTCACTAAAAACAATCCTGCCTGTGACCTGGCCTAGCTCCATCAAGTTTAACATTAGGACTTGAGGCCAAAATCTCAGCATAATTGAAAGTATCAGTTTCCAGGCTAATGTTCTCATCCACTTAATGAATTTCCCCCATGGTTCTCAGGGACAGTGATGTGACAAGAATCAGTACACAATCTCATGTCCTGGCCATCTTTCTTTATTTTAATTGTCTGTGGGTATTGCCTGGGTTATACTGCCCCCTCCAAAAGCTTCCTTTCTGTGTGTGTGGATGAAGGGAATAGGCAGAAAATGAGGCTCAGTATATCATGATAATCTACATGAATCAAATTAACTGTAGTGGCCATTTCATTGACTCTGCATAGACACCAAATATATCGGAAGACCCCACTGTTTCTATTAAAGTTGCAGTAATTTTATTTATGAAAATATTTATTTTCCATCTCTAATATTTAAGGATCAAGAATTCCTGTTAGTAATTAGAATTCAGTATGGCTGCTTGCTTATTATAGAGAAATCAAAATGTATTACATAGCTTTTATTTACAAAGACTTCTTCATGTAATTAAAGAATATATTTTGGCATTTGGTTTTCCTTATTATCTCAGTACTTGGTTAATAAGTTTTTAATTGGAAATCATCTCAATAAATGAAACTGTAGTGGGTTAACTGAACCCACCAAATATTCTGATGTTCATCATTAATTGTGTGAGAAGTCAAAGGTTCTATTGTGTTACTTCTTGAGCACTTATCATGTGGACTTCTATATATTAATAAGAAGAGATGAACTGATCCATTTCTTCTGGAAAGTACCCAAAAAACCCACCATCAGGAAGAATCTTTGGGCAATCTGAACTACATTTATAAAAATAAGTGTAGTCAAGCTCTCACTGTTCTCTGGACCTGTTTCCCTTGCAGTAAAATGGAGGAGGTTAGACAGGCTCTTCTCTAAAGGACTCTTTGAGCCCTGATGTGGGGGAGAAGACTGGACTCTGGTCCCCAGGACTGGGTTTGAGTCCTTGCTCTATACTCACTCCCTGAGTGACTTTGGGTAAAGCCTTCTTAAGACACCAGTATTTTCATCTGTTAAATGGAAGTAACAATATTACCAAT